TTTTACAATGTTACTGTAATATTATGGTATACGTGCATACTCTACGCTTAAGTAGAATTTAATAAACAGACAGACGAATTGAGAACCTCCTCCTTTTATGACTGTCTGTGAAAGCGACACAGACAGACAGTTACTTTCGCATTTATAATATTAGTATAGATAGTATTGATTTTGTGTATTCTTTTTTAAATATGAGTTAGGAACCACAAATCGGATCATCCTTTGTAATACAACAGGCATGAAATAACTGAAATTATGATTATACACTCAACATCAAATAAATCGCACCTCCCGCAACAATCACTTTCAAACGGATGCATCCCCACTTCCCACCAATATTGGCACCATTTAAAAGCCTAGTTCTAAACTTCATTTCATTAAAGGAAAGGTTTTTACCCCAAAAATGTGTCTTTAGAAGGATCCAGAGTCACTTCTTCAAAAAATAGGCTATTAAGCTTGAGCCAACTTTTATGGCTGTAAAACTGTGAAGTTGGGATTAATCGGTATCCATCTGTTAAAGAGGACACGTGTGATCATTGTGATAATTGATCCCAGAGGTGAGCCCAAAGTGAGGTCTCTTTTCAAGTCACATTTATGGTATATGATAATCATTTATTTAGAAATTAAATGTGTTTTTCTTTAAGGATATTTATTGGGCTCTCAAATAACACCAATATTGTTGGGGCACCATGATTGTGTCAGAAGAAAATCTTAAAAGTTCGCGTCGCGGAAGGTGCGGTTTATTTGATGTTGAGTGTAGTATCTATATAGCTTCTAAGCCGTAAAACAGATACTATAATCATAATTTCAGTTATTTCAGGCCTATGTTCAGCAGTGGACGTCCTATGGCTGAGATGATGATGATGATGATTCACAATATTTATACATAAATGCCGGAATACAGTAATGCTATTAACATTATTTTTATAGTGACAGACTAAGGAAGATATATCTAACTCTATAGAGTTGCTAGCCAGGCAGACTTAGGCTGGATTGCACCATCTTACTTTAACTTTGACAAACATCAAAAATCTGTCAAACTCCATACAAAAAACACCGGTTATCGTTAAAGATACGGTCAAAGTTAGGTAGTGCAACTCAGCCTTAGATAAAACCCTACCACCATAATCCACCCCAGGTCATAAAATTTTAAAATATCACAAAATTAACTCTATCTCCTAAACTAAAGAAAATCGTAAAACATACATGGGGGTGATTTAGATACACCTTGATGTAAGGAATCTAAATTTTTCTTCTAGACCCCACTGTTTTGGCCACCCTGTTTTTATAGGGATATTTTACAAATTACTTTAAGCAACCAGCTTTTCAGTTATTTCTGAATATCATGTTTTGTGTATAAATCACCACCATCAATTTACATTTATTTTCTTATGACTACGATGCTGAAAAATATGCACATAATTTGACTTACTGGAAAAATATTTCGTGAAAGAAAACTGGGTGTTATTTTAAACAGAGATAATGAAACTGATAGTTAATATGTACTGGATCATATTTTTAAGCACATGATAGAGTACTTGCACGAATAAAAGTCAAATAAACAAGGTCGGTGATGTAACGAAGTGTGACGGAGACCCCGATAAGACCCAGAGTCGCGATAGTGCCCATCGAGAAAACGTCATGTCATGTTGATCATAACATCGTATGTTATGAAAGTCAGCCCGCCCTACCATAGACACACATGCGGTGAGCATTCTTTGTTTTATGCAATTGATGACTATGTTATCGACGAGTAACGCCCGTATTCACCAACATTACTATGAGATCTCACAGTGCGCGTGCACGCACAGGATGACACACGTACCAATCACAGAGCTCTATTCAACGCTGCGTCACTTAAGCAAGCATCGTTTGTGAATGCGGGCGGAAAATTGTTTTTGAAATAACTGTAATAGCTAAGCGCCATGCGATTTTGTAGCTCATTGCTACGTTATTATAGTTTGTAGTCTCTTTTTATAAATTTGATTGTGTCAAACCTTTCAATCCACTACACCTAATTAATTTTACGATCAAGTTTATGAAAACTAGGGCGGGTTTGCACCATCTTACTTTTACTTTGACAAACGTCAAAAATCTGTCAAATTCCATACAAAAAGCACCAATATCGTTATAGTTACAGTCAAAGTTAGGTGGTGCAACTCAGCCCAAATGTCCATGAGCAACACGCATCGCACAAAACAGTGGTGGGAGTTGAACCTGACATTACTGAAGTCCAGATCCAGACTTCCAGTCTGCGACACAACTTAACCGTATTTCTACAAATGATTGATAGGTACCTAAATAAATTAAGGATATGAAATGCGAAATTCCAATTCTCTCTTTAGGCCTACATGGCCCTTTTCGAAAATCGTCTACACGTCCCAAAGGCGTATCCATATTTTAATATTTTTTTTATTCAATTCAAAGTTACCTACTCAATTTTATCAGATTTCATTTATGCCAAATCTTTGATTCTTATATTGGTTCGCCTTAAATACCTATTCCTATTACGAGTAAGTAGTTATAAAATACAGCTTTTGCCATCACAATCAAACTGCACCAAGTCGCCAATACACTTCTGAACATGCTTATCGGCCGCTATACCACCGCTTGCAATCTTTGCGTACATTCCTTGGTACAACTTTATATGTACATATTTGCTGCTTGCACTTCATTAGCCCTCTTAAAATAAATTATAACAACGCTATGCACAGATAGACCTAGCAAAAGTTTATTTAGCTTTGTTGATGGGAAGTGGTGAAACTTCTTAAGTTAATGTTTATGATTTACATTTTAATGCAGGTATAGGGACTACCTGTGTACTGTGTAGCTAGGATCTACATTCTACAGCCAATAAAAAAAAACCAACCAATGAAGATCAAATTTAATGCAGTTCTACTAAAAAAATCTTGTGTGAACTACAGAATTCGAAGTTAAGCGAACGTACGCCACAACGAATTGGTAACACAATACCTGTGTACCAGTAAATTATTCATGTTTTCTTTTTTACTCACCACAAATAGTATTTTGGATTTGATTCTCATATTGTGCTTTTATTTTGTAAATACATAATTGTTTCTGAATATTTTATTAGGGTAAGAGTAAACCATTTTTATTCCGGTCAAGTGTGATGTGAGTGGTATTGGCGTGCAGGATGGATACATTTTCATTGCAGCACAAGATGATTGGATTTTTTTTATACTTTTAACTAGCTTTCCGCCCGCGGCTTCGCCCGCGTGGAATTTTGTCTGTCACAGAAAAACAATATCGCGCGCGTATTTGCTCACCGTTTAGACTAACCCTGGACTACGACAAACATTTTAAAACCAAAATCAGCTCAATCGGCCCAGCCGTTCTCGAGTTTTAATCAGACTAACGAACATTAATTCATTTTATTTATATAGATAGATAGATATAGGTACAGTGTGTTAGGTAAATGGGTATATGAGCCGACAGTAGCCCATGTTAACATAGTAATATAAATGGTATGGTGAAGTCAGAAAATTGATAACTTCATTTTAATTATTTTAATTTTCACACAAATCGGATTTAATAATATTTATTTTGTATAAAAATTAAAAAAATTAAAATGATGATATCAAATTTCTGACTTCACCATACCATTTATATGACCATGTTAACATGGGCTAGTGTCGGCTCATATACCCATTTACCTAACACCCTGTAGATTCCACAAAAAATGCATTTAGTAGGCTCTAAATTAAGGGAGTATCTCTAAATTAACACTCCTATTTACAAAAACAATAACTTATTTTCATTACCACTATATCGAAAAAGGTTTTTTTAAAATACATTTAATAATCGCTCCGTCTTTTTAAATAAATTGTTGTAAGAAGCATGTGAGCAAAGTTATCTTTAAAGAATTCAGTTTTTACTCTTTTCACAGGAATAAAGAAAATAATTACAGCAAAATAGTGGACTTAGTGATACCTAAAAGCTTTTTCTGCGAAAACTTCTCTGTTAGAAGGATTGTAATGAAACGATAAAAATATAAAATCATGAGCAGAGAACAGCTTAAGCTCTTAATAAATATTACTAAAAAATTGAATTCTCTCAATAATAATATGACTGTAAAGAGAGCAAACGATAACGAAAATAGAAAATTTCTTTCTATGGCTTCCTTGCGATCAGCATGCTCAAGTGTATTGGAGCGGGATTCATGGAAATGGCCCTGAAAGTCTTAAATAAGTAATGACCTAATTAATTCTATTTATTTTATTTCTATTTAAGTTTCATTTTATCCGTATTCTCAGCAAGGACTCACTTGTTGTATCGAAGCTGTGTTAGTGTTTCAGTTAGTGGGACGTCTAAAGGACCTTTTTAAAACCCTAAGCAAAATAAATTAGTTTGGTTTTGAATTATTAACATAATGTAATTTTATTGAGTAGTAACCAGTTTAGTTAGTTTTGTATGATGATGGAATTGTATACTTACACATGTTTACAAGCGGAGTAAAAAAGTTTTGAATTATAACACCGTTGGATGATGAGGGTAATTATTTTAATTTAGTTTTACGAATTCATTTACTAATTAAATTAATTTTAATTTGATATAGTAAATTAATATAATATTTGTGTCGGTGTCGGACTGTCAATTCGAGGTTGCTTGTTCGAGCCTGCGGTTCGAACGCCGAACCAATCCTTCTACAATAGTACAATAGTACACAATTTGTACTACTGTACTTACTACAATAGTACAATAGTCACGATAACTTAACAGGAGAGGTTAGCGTGAAATATAATTATGATCATCATCATCTCAGCCCCATTTCCAGATAACCGGTTGGCAGTGGCCTACATCCATCGCTTTCCTGCAACCTTTTGGGCCAAGACAGGTCATCTGTCCACCCTTTTGGTGGACGTCTCACGCTGCGCTTGCCGGATCTTGGCATTCCAGCACATTTCTCCCCATCGACCGTCAGTTCTGCGTGCTATGTGCCACTTCTTGTTAATCTGGGAGATCGCTAATAAACAACTTACCGTCGGATGAACGTGAGGGTGGGAGTACAGTTGCATTCTACGCGTGTCCACGGTGTACGTGTTGAGCGGTAGATCGTTCATCTCGAAACTCCTCTGCAGGCCTGGGGTCAGCCGAGCCACCTCCTCATCCCCATTGAGGCTTGCCCCATCAGCTCCGTTGGCCACTGGAAGAGAGCTTTTGATTATTCAGATTGTCTGATCAACAATAGCTATTGATTTCACTACTACTAATGGGCGTACCCAGATTTACCGGGGGAGAAAAGTTAAGATTTTTAGGAAGGTTCACCCGCTCTTAGACATTTAAGAAGAACAGGGCAGGCTTACATTTAGTGTTACTACCGCCTAAATTGTAAATTTTGTAATGCTATGGGGTGCAATGAAATGTATTCTGATAATAGTCAGATCGCTTCAAATTGGTACATTACTATACATTCTTAAAAATAATAAAAGACCTGTAACCCGTTAACATGGAAGGGAATTGCGTTCACCTACTAGTTAGCTATATATTTTTTAAATTATATTGGAATTTAGATAAATTTCAAATTGACAAGGTATAAATACTTAAATAAAAATGTGATTTGATCATTTTACTTCCTCCATATTCATAGGGATATTATACACAAAATCTATAATATAATAATGACACATGATCATTTATTAAAGTCTATTCTACTCTATTAATCCGATTACTGTTAATGACGTGTATGAATTAATTTAAAACTGAATATAGATACTACACTATGAAGGTACAGTCGGAATGAATAATAACGTACAAATAGAATAACCCTACTGTGCCTACTAACAATTTATCTCAATGCAATTGCAAAATTACACCTAATCACCTTTACCGTAACTATAACTTTAACCGGTGTTGTTGTATAAAGTTTGGCAGACCTTTGACGTTTGTTAAAGTTAAAGTAAAATAGTGTAGTCGTAATAGTTAAAAATTGAAATACGAGCTCATTGTAGGTACTGGATTATGTCATTGACGTTCCACCACCTGTTACGCAGAGACTGATTTTTGTTTGTTTTGATTTATTAAGATAAGCTAATTTAATGTAACACTGATCATTTTCACCGAGAAAGTGTTATTTATGTGAGCTCGACCTTTCAAAAATAAATGGGAAACTGTGATCTAGTTATTTCAATGTTTGTTAAAAATAGACAAAAAATGTTTTTAGTACTTTTTAACTGCTGAATACATCCAACTACCATCTACTTAAACGACTCACGTAATCAGAATCTGTAATAATGAATACTTATTTTTTATTGTGACTATACCTACCACTAACTAATGTTCAATATCTAACAAGTAACTAAGTACAGATTTTGAACAGGTTTATTTCTCTCCATTTATATTGGATCCAAATCCTAATGATACCAATTGCCGAGTCAGTGCTATTTCGTATTACTCGCTTCTAGTCAGTGCGTCAATTAATACATTTATGTGCAGTCCACGATTTATATTGGGTAACCACCAATAATGCCTAATATTCATCTAACTCTCTATGTTTATAATTAATTTATAAATAAGGTTTAGTATTTTTTTGCCTTTTTAACCCCTCCAGCAAACATGTTAGGGTTGGGTTCATATTGACTCATGACAGAATGCTCTAAAACTTTACGTAGAATTAAGTTTATTGATGCCAACTATACTTCAATTATGTGTAGGTGAACGTCGTAACATTTGGCTAAACACTGTGAAATCTATAAGTATGTTCTAATACGTCAGATTTTACATCGAAACTGTAGATCCAATGTGTTTTTTCAAGTTCTGAATGCACAATGTATGTCTTCTACTATTAGGTTACATAAACATCTAACAAAGTAAATTAGTTTAATTGCATATCATCCTCAAGAATCTTTCAAGATCGAACTTAGACGAAAGCTTTTCCAAACAATGAAAAATATAGAAGACTTATTTGGGCTCGTAGTAATTACTCGTATCTGTACCTCTAGTAGGAAAAACTTTCGAGTTCGTTTCGTTGCGTATTCAAAGTGTCATCGAAAAATTTTGTATGAAAAATTAAACAGCGCCCCCTATATTATAGCCGCCCTAGGGGGCGCTGTTTAATTTTTCATACAAAATTTTTCGATGACACTTTGAATACGCAACGAAACGAACTCGAAAGTTTTTCCTACTAGAGGTACTGGTAGTCGCGAGTACTCTCTCGTAGCAGTGCCTAGTTAGTAGCTACGGGTCTCTTCGTAGTCGTTAAGTCCGTATTAAAAAACTCGACTCAAACTCAAGATCGTAGTCGAAGATTCGTCTAAACCAGGGGCGGCCAACCGGTCGATCGCGAATATTAGTGCAGTCGATCGTGGCAAGGCAAAAAATACTACATGATTGTGTACTAAACTATGCTGTTTCATTTAAGATTTCAAGAAGTATGTACCTAAGTGATAGATCGCCCAGGTTTTCGTTAGTAAACAGTAGATCTTATGTCTAATCTTGTTAGCCACCCTTGGTCTAATCATTATATTTCAAACTAGCTGACCCGGCGAACTTTGTTCCGCCTTAACTAGCTGACCCGGCGAACTTTGTTCCGCCTTAATGGCAATAAATAAGCAGACTTTTTTTTTAATTTCGAACGGAATAAAAAGTATCCTATGTCCTTCTCCTGGCTCTAAACTACCTCCCTGACAATTTTCAGCTAAATCGGTTCAGCCGTTCTTGAGTTATAAGCGAAGTAACTAACACGACTTTCTTTTATATATATAGATTTAACGTAGTAAATTTAAATGAAAACTTCTCTTTCAATGATGCTTTAATAAATACGATCGAGTGCAGCTAAACCTACTTGAGTTTGAAGCTAATGTTGAGTGTTGTTTTAGAATACTTAACTTACTTAACCTGGTGGAAGGGGTTGTTTGAAGGTTTATAAGTAGGTATAAATTAGAGGGGTAGCATTAATAGTATGTTCAAGTTTCATTAAAATAATAGTCCAATTACAAAAAGTTTTTTTCTGAAATACCCAGTGAAACTTTACAAAAGCAATAACAAAGTATGGAAAATATAAATATAATGACTTAATTTTTTTATTTATTTGATTTTAAGGCAAGTACAGTTTATTAACTAAGTAATTCCCGATAAGCAAGAATTATATTATGTAACATAGGAAATAACTCTTTAGGTAATAACGCTTGCACTGCAATAGTAGTAAGTATATTGTTTGAACTCGATCAGTATCATGCGTGACCAACTTATGAGTCAAAAATGTAGGTCACACAAACTTATTATAGCAACGTATGAAAAAATATTTGTAACCATTATGTATCATACATAATTGTATGTCATTCGATATTCATTACCTAATCTAAGAAAATAGGTATTTTACAGTAAAAAATGTTTACAAATAGGAACACTATACAAAAATTTAGGTTATCGAATTTGTCATGATTTAGTTTAGAGGCAAATAGCTACCTAAAGCAATACAGAAAGCGAGTAAAAAACACACAGGTTATGCCAGAGTAAACCAAACAGCAACAAAATATTTCATTCCTCTGAAAAAAGCCGATCAAATTCCCGAGAATACTATACTGTGTAACTCAAACAAGCAATAGCAATCAATAAACTAAAAGTCTGAAAGCATAAATTTTTTTATAAAATGTGTACTCGCGCTAACTTTTTTTCAAATTAGTTAAATATTAATTCAATACTAACGGTAGGTTAAGTCATTAATGTAAATAATGCTTTTAAAAAACACGATTTCTTACTACTTATAATGTAAATTAAAAAAACAACATCAATAAATATTTGGGTACAATACCCCCAAGTAAGCTTTTCTTTAAAGCTTAATTTCGGAGAACTTTGAGTAGATGAAAATGAAAATGAGTCATTTTATTTAAGATACAAAACTAGGTAATTGAGTGACTTTCAAGTATAGACAAACAAAAAAAACCAAATGAAAATAATTTATTGCCAACGTAAAACTTAAGGCGATGTTTCATTTGATCGGATTGGTCAAAAATTACTGTTTTACTATGCCATAATCCAGTTTTACTACCGCATAAAAATATTTAATGCCCTCACACACCCATTTAAGATTTTATAGCCATTACTTACCCACTTTTAAGTCTGTGGAATCCAGCTGAAGAATCCTTTTCTCCTCTCAGAAGTTTTCTTTCGAAACTTTCAGGAAAACCAAGAGCATCCTTTAGATAGTAGCACTGTAAAGTTTTCCGCACTCAACGTCACTCAAAGTTTGTTTTGTCAATCACTATAATGTTCAATGTTCACGTTATAGTTGAAAGTTTATTGAAATTGCATCGTATTGTGCGCGCAAGGCGGGCGGGAGGTAGAGTGATCCCTCCGCGAACCAACTACGGAACGAGCGACGCGCGTGGATGCCGGTCAGCCGACTGACTGAATCTCGCGTTCTCTACAGCGAAGCTCCACGCCATTAGACGTGTAGGCGGTCTCGCCACCTTTCGCTGAATATGCAATTTTCAGCCTCCCAAAAAGCTAACTTCATTAGAAAAAAATCTCCTGTACGCCACGCTATGGCTTAACTCACCCTCAAGCAACTTTTACGGCGCTATGCGGTCATTACATCACGTGACCGTCATTAAGTTTTAAAAAGTGTGAAACGTTTTTCTTGAAATAAAGAAAACATAATCTTCATAACACTTAGTGGCTAGAGCAGTGGGGAAAGGCGCGACCTCATTGGTGGGAGTGTGACGCCCGAAACCAATAGCACGGGAAGGAGGAGTCGGAACGTAATCACTTTGAAATTTGGCTGAATATAATATATTTGCCCTTTATATGTCGAAACATAATTTTGTGGTTTCCCTTCCTGAAGTACCTATTTTTACCGCCGGCCGATTATGGCAGCTTGGCGTCTATAGGAATAAACCATGAAGTACAACTTCGTCAATGGTATGGAGCTTGAAGAGGAAACTCGAGCATTTACTGAGGACCCGGGTTCGATTCCTAGTCTGGTCGATTTAAGAAAATATCTTTGCTGAAATCACTCGCGTCTGAAATGTACAGTACGACTACTACGACTTCTAGTCTTTCTGACTACGAGAACAGAAGTTACTCTAGCTGTTTGGCGACCGTCGGTGCGCGCCTTAATACGGAATGACTTTACATAACTTAGCGCCATCTACGCTTCAACTAAGCTAAGCTTTTACCGGATAACAATCACTTAAATTCTTATTTACCTACACTAAAATATTTTATTAATAAGTATTTAAATAACATTACAAATCTTATGTTCAAGTCAAGCTATCTGCTACGTGAAATCATTTAGCAATACCTCTATTACAAAAAAACTTTCAAGTTCGTATCGTTTGCGTATTCGCACCGTCGAATGGTACTTTCCGAAACGTGTTGTGATAATTTACATTTCTATTACCAATCAATAATTTTATTTTTATTTTTCAGAAAACAAATGTTTGACAGTGACAAGTGAACTTTGAAATAGTTTCTAACCTGTAACCACAGGGGCCCTGCACTGTTGAAGTTTTCATACTAAATCTCTCGATGGCGATGCGAATACGCAAACGATACAAACTCGAAAGTTTTTCGTAATAGGCATATATGAGGGGAAAAGGGGTCTAGGGTATTTACTTAACTATTCATTTTGATTAAACTTCTATTTCATTTTTAAAATAATTAATGGTAATCTTACTTTGATTTGTTCTCATAGCAATGTGTTTACTATCCGCGTCACAGCGTTATCAACCGGTATTGTAGACTTGGCTGAAATTCAACTGGTAACATGTTCATATTTAAAACTATTTTGTAACTGTCGTGATATTAATTAGTAAAGAGTCAGTACAGGAATAAACATTAATTAAATCCTAGGTAGAAAACCATTATCTTAAAGGCGGCATAAATCATCCGATGTTCGGTGCCGGATTAAGGCCTAGTTTCCATCAAGGCGGAGCGTTGCGGAGACGAGAGATGTTCGGCAAAGCTGGCAGGCTCTTTCCACCAAAGTGGAGCAGAGAAGAGCGGTGATGAGACAAGACGAGAGATGTGTGAGCTGTGCGTAGCCGTCATAATAATATGTCTATTGCATTAAAATACCGCACCGCTCCGCACCACAACGGTCCGAACAGCTCCGCACCACAACGCTCCGCCCTGTCAAATTCTATAGAAAAACAAGTCCGACCGACACTTCTCCGCTCGATCCATTTCCACTGAAGCGGAACAGAGTGAAGATGAGGAAATAATTAAATCTGATTGGTTATTCAACAGTTCTCTGCTCCGCTCCGCCTTGGTGGAAAATGGGCTTAAAACTAAGTAATTACCTACTCGATGCCCTTAGCATTCCACCAGGCCCCTCTTTCCCACTGGGCACTTTGGGCACGTGCCCAGGGCCCCGCGACCGAGGGGGCCCCCATCTGCTAATAAGACCTTTTTCCAGATGTTAAGGGCCTAGGGTTGCCAGGTGTCCGGATTTAGCCGGACATGTTTGGCTTTTTACGGTCGTGTCTGGCCTAAAATTGTCTTGTCCGGCCTGTCCGGCTTTTGTTAGGCTTTATATGTGGTTGCCGCGCCAGGCGAAAGTCGAGCTACAGAATAATATCAAGCGCACGCATCAGGATGTTGGGCAACCGATGATGATATAATTCACTCGTAAGCTATGACACTAATTTGTCGCGGAGAAAATGTGCTTTCGGGGGACAGGGTGGTGTGTGGGACTCTCGGCGGCGCCCTGAAAAGGGCGCTGCTATTTCCTGAAAAGGACGGGGTATACCCACTAAAACCTCCGCGGCGTTCCGTCATAGCCCGAGTGGGGGTGTCGAGAGTATCCGGCCGTAGCCTGACTTCCGCGACAATCTAATCTAACCTAACCCACTGTTAGTTTAAAATCTCACGCTTTAAACTGTCATTTTTGTAAACTGACGGAGCTCACAATTTCACGTTGACACGTATGCAACCTATACATTTATTTTATTCTTCAAGGAAAACTATAACGGTTAAGATACATCATTTAGTTTAAGAGTAATAGTCATTTGACTCAAGTATTATAAAATTTCTTAATTAGTAAAAATTCGACACGCACTTGGCTAATTTTTATTTAATTGTTATTTATTAATATAATAACTATTCGACAGTTTAGGTAATAATTTGAACTAGGTACGTAGATCATAGAAAACAAAGTAATAGGGAATTACTGTGAATTCAAAAGATTTACAAACAAACTGTCCAAACATCCCTATCCGGGAAGCCTATTGAATTTTCACAATTTCTCCATCTGGTTTCCAGGGAACGGAGACTGGTTTTAAAGTAATGAAATGGGACACTACGTAGCGTTGATACTCTACTAGCCCCTTCTCGGAATCAACTGCCAAAGCTGGAGCTGCAGCGGAGTCGGCTAAATTAGCACGATCCCGTTTTACCCCCTTAGGGGTGAAGTTTCGTAAAATCCTTTCTTAGCGGATGCCTTCGTCATTCCCTATCCGTCCCCCGGACACGGCCTGAGCCGAGGTCCGAGCCTACCGTGGCGCCCTCAGGCCGCGTCCGTAGTCCCCTCGATCGGGCCCACTAGAGTGAGCCCGCCGTAGGCTGGACTTTGGTCCAACACCGCGGTGGGCAACCCTCTAGTTGGGTTCGCCACTGATCGGGCGCCTTATGCGCTCGATACGGCCCGATCGCGAACGTCGGTCTGCGACCGANCTTATGCGCTCGATACGGCCCGATCGCGAACGTCGGTCTGCGACCGACGCGGACGAGCCTGGGCTTCGCTAAGCGAAGCCCACACTCGGCCTCGTCGGCACGCGCACCGACGATCGCCAAACGGCTAGAGTACCTTCTGTACTCGCCACTCTGCCCGGTGAAGCTGGAAAAGCTCCTCAAGCTACCAGCGCGCGTCCCTTCAAAAAAAAAAAAAGCCTTCGTCATAACATTTACCTGCATGCCTTTCAGCCCGATCCGTCCAGTGGTTTGGGCTGTGCGTTGATAGATCACTATGTCAGTCAGTCAATCAGTCAGTCACATTTAAGATACACGAACGGATTTTTTTTTCAAATGCGCCAATTTATTAATGTACAATAATCGGATGACAAAACATTGTTATTTTGTTACTCTTTATTTGCTGAATTTTAAATAGGATTTTATTTTTGAAGCTGTAATTATCTTTCTATCTGCAAGGCAACCGCTATAGTCGACTCAATTCGTCTGAGAAAATAAAGCTGGGTGAAATGATTCCGAAGTGAAATGAGGACACTAAAAATTCCACTTTAATAATAATAATAATGTATATAGTGGAGGAGGCTCATAGTCCAGCAGTGGACTGTAAAGGGCTGTTGATGATGATGATGAATAATAATAATAAGCCCCGCAGGGCAGCTTTGTGGCGAGCTGTTGGTGAGTAGCGACACCACGGGGCCAGTTGTTAATCCGAGGATTCGTACCCACTGGCCCGGGGAAACCAGCGGGTTATGTGAGGCTCTCCCTGCCAGATGGGCAGGGCCTACTCACTAAAACCTGACGGTGTCCTCCCGAAGTCTTTGGGACGGAACTGCGAGTTATTGTCCGAGCTAGACGGTCTAGACATTCTTTCGCGGCTCCGCCCCAGACTGTGGCTCGCTCTGTTGGGCAAGCGACGACTGGCTTCAGGGGAGTAGTACCTCCCCTGTTCTTCGCTAACGGTGCGCGTGAACACATGCGCGCGCCGCCGCCACGGGTCCTCCATTAGCGGCCACCAAACACCCCGTGTCTAGTGGCCGAGGACCCTTAAGAAGGGGCATGGAGATGGTAGTGTCTCGTGGGGTGTCCTGGACGTCGGCGACGGTTCGGTGGAGCATCAGGCGCCTTTCCCTAGGCCTCGGCTGGGAAGGGAACTCGCAGAAAATCATCGTCGCACTTTCTTCACCCAAGTGAACAAAGAGGAATAAACCCTGCTCTGGATTCTATGCCGCTGCTCAGTCAGCTCTGCTATATGATCAGAGAAGTACCGGCCCTGCAAAGAATGGGTCAGAGCAAACGCCCCGCTAGCCCCCGAGCCCGACCCGGGTCGCCCAACAGGCCCGCCGGGTTGACGAGACCTGTGGTTCTATATGTATCAGTACCCACTAGGGATGTTATGGATAATAATATGTAGTTTTGGTTATGGATACGGTTACGGATATTGGAATAACATTATACCGGTTTCAGTTACGGCTACGGATATTTTTTTATTTCGGATATCTGAAAGTTACGGTTACGGATATCTGTGCTAAGTACAGAATTCAAATTCAAATAGTTGTCCAACACAGTTCATGCCTTACGAATAGAATGGGTACAGAAGAGATTTCTTTGGCATCTGTCACCTTCTTTTCTTCTTCTTCTTCCTATTCGTTACGCTCTTGGCAGTGCGGTCGTGGTCACGTTGAGGCGTTGTTCACATCGGT